AGTGTTGTATAAGTACGGCTGCAATAAGGTGGAAAATGCCCAGTAAATTTCGGAAATGTTCCAGAAATTTTGGAAACTTTCCAGGATTTTGGGGAATATTCCAGGGATTTTTGGAAATTTTCCACCCCTTTGCAACCCCGTGTATAAGTAACGCTTCAAAGTTTGAAAAAACAACTTCCAATAGATCTCCTTTACTTTTTAATTAATTTAAAAAATAAATTAAATAAATAAAGACTTGTTTTCCGGTGCAAATGTCTATTCTTAAATCAAGACACATTCACTCGAGAAGCAAAATGACGCAAGAAATCTTGTTTTCTGAGAAATTTAAGCATGTGGCACTTTTTTTTTTTTTGTTTCTAAGAACACAAGACTTCATTTTGCTTCTCAAGTATGTTTATCTTGATTTAATGTTTATTGTTCAGGTATTTAATATTTTGCTATTTAAAAATTAGGGGAAAAAATACTAAGGAAGATAATCATATTCATGAATTTAAGAATTTCTGCTCTGATTTCAGAACTTTTTAGGCCTTAATTTGTGAAAGGGTGAATCTAGACCTTTTTAAGACCTGCAGAAACCCTGTAGATCAGTAGGCGCGTTTCCATTACACATTTGTGTAAAACTTTGGCGACATTTTATAAATGTCGATAAAAAAGTATTGCGTAATGACGCCGTTTCCATTAACCAACGTTATGCGACTAAAACGTAACCTTCTCGCGATAAGCCATGGCAACGGATTTTGGCTATATTTATTATTAAAAACCGTTTCCATTGCAGTTTTGCGAAATATTCCTTTTTCGAATTGCCTGAAAAACCACCTCATGCGAGCGTAAAAACTTTTTTGCGATATATGGGAGTTTTTGCGAAATTGACGCATTTCCATCAGGTGTATTTTCAATTCGCAATTTTAATTAGCGCAATCTGAAGGGTAATGGAAACGCAGCTACTGATGGGCAGCTTCGGTCCTGGAAGGCCACTGTCCTGCAGAGTTTAGATCCAAGCCTGATGAAAACTCACATGTCTGTAGCTTTCACATTACTCTGAAAACACTGATTAGCTTGCTCAGGTGTGTTTGAGCTTCAGGACCGAAGCTGCCCATCCCTGCTGTAGAGAATTGGCCGCTGTCCCAGGCAACTGATCTCCAACTAGCTGTTTTAGTTCCATGCCTAGTTCTATATGAGTGTCTTCTCTCATAATAAAGTCATTTCAGCTTATCAACATCATATTTATTTGCCAAATGACATGTCAGAGGCCTGTATTAGCTTACCTGTGGACCAATGAACACCCGGAATTTGTTGTCAGGACTGTCTCCGCCAATCAAGAACGAGTTAGGTCCTATCTGCTGCAGCAGGTAGAGGCGGGCTCTCATGACCTTGTTGACCCTGCGGTTGGTCTCCTCTGGACTATATGGGGAAAAGCCATCAGGGGAGGGAGCTCTCCGAGGGGGCGTCACCCTCCCGCTCTGTAGCAACACGTTCAAACAAACACGTTGGCTTCATAGCAAAACATATTGAGACCTCTTTAAGATGCTAACTTAAAAAAAACTTAATCGATTTGGAGGATTCAATTGTCTTCCATAGAGATGCGTCATAGCTGAACTGAATTCATTTAATTATTGATGCATTTTGCAATATCAACACTGTTATTGAATTAAACTGAATCAGACTTGAATCTAAACTGACTTGATCTGAATAACAGATGACAACAAATGTGACAAACTCACAGGCACTGGGGATCCTCTCCGTCTGCGCAGACCAGGAGAATCAGGCTTCCCAGTGGTCTTAGTGGAGGATGAGGAAGAGGAAGGTCCAGGCGAAGGGCTGCGATGACCTCTGCTTTGAGAGGAAGATGAGCTGTGACTGTCGCTTCCCGCCTCAGTGCCGTCTGCTCTCAGAGGAATGGGCTTCACTACCTGAGATTAGATGACGCAAGAAAACACTGATAAAATCACATAAAAACAAAAGCCATTTCCATCCTGTTTCTTGTGCCTTCATTTGCCTTTTTATTTTGTCTTGTAGAGTCATATCTGCCAATATTTGGACACTGACATATCTGACACTGATCAATCACTGTCACCTTCTTGTTAATGTTTTGTAGTACTGTAAATTATTATTTCCGGTGAGAAAACATTACAGCCTAGTGTCAGTAGCGTTAAGGCAGACAGAGAGAAAGTCCGTCAACAGGGTTGATTGTTCTGATGGTTATGTAAGGAAGGCACGCTGAACTCAGGAAGAGCCGTTCCACTTCAGAACTTCTCACTTCCTGTTTCTTCGTCCAAACATTTTTCAACTATTTTTGGTAACAGGGCATGTGATCTAATGATTTAACCATTAACAGTAGTTAACAATATTTAACTAGTTAATTAATCCAGTGATTTAATTGTTAACAGTATCGCAGAAAACCAGTAATGCTGTTTGGTGACAATGTGATCTGATTAGATAAACAAAAAAATAAAAAAAGAAGATGTTTAACTGTCCCGTACCATCGGGCCTCTCCGGCTGCGCCTCTCCAGCCACTCGCTCTTCCAGGTGGGCATACAGGTGGCCTTGAGCTTCTCTCGGATCAAGCGCTCTTCTGGCCGGTCCTCTATCTTCTGCAGCCCGCGCAGAGTCTCCTTGCTCTCCATGTCCCGACTGCAAAGAGCAGAAGACTAATAAGCATGTGTGTGTGAACTAATATCTTACCATATTCATACAGAATTCCACAGATATTTTCCTGCAATCAGCACAGATGTGTACTAGTGGTTGAACGATATGGATATTTTTATGACCAAGAAGGGTGACCAGTGGCCAATATAAAGCCTAAAAATGTGATATCAATCTATTTAATTTAAATATGTGATATATTTGTAGCAATAGCCAAAAATACATTGTATGGGCCAAAATTATTGATTTTTCTTTTATGCCAAAAATCATTAGGATATTAAGTAAAGATCATGTTCCATGAAGATATTTTGTAAGTTTCCTACTGTAAACGTATAAATCTCAATTTCGAAAAATGACTCTTATGACTGGTTTTGTGGTCCAGGGTCACATATAGTAAATAACACGGCAATGAAATAAATATTTATTGTGCATATATTTACTAAATTAAAACCATTTGCAAATGAGGAGGAGAAAACAGAATGCAAAGCAATGCTCGCCTCACTTTAATTCATTGGTTTATGAACCTTTGGTTTTGTTTCCAAAGCGTCAATGGACGCAACAATATAAGGGCACTTGCATCTTAACGGCGTTCACATAATCCAAATAAATCAAACTCTGACGTCTAAAGAACCGGGGTGGGCACCAAAAGTGCTAGTGTGAAAGAACCCTTATAGTATGACTAAACATGAATTAACTCTCATGAATCTGGTAAGCCTGTATTGCACTGGGAATCATATTTACTAATAATAGAAAGGCTAATGATATAATGGACTTACCATTTATATTTTATTAGACATAACTGTTAAACAAAGACAGCAAACTATTACATCAGTCATTACACATTGTGCAGATTCTGTGTAAGCTTTGTTACGACTATGCATTTCTACAGTCACACAACAAAATAAATATTCACACACAAAAGTGTTTGTTTGCAGTCAAAATTGAATGTGATGAGACAAAAAGCTGGCTACAACAAAAACTAAAAGACATTAATCCAACAACACACTGGCTTCACTGGCTGCCTTCAGTGAATGTATTCATTTAGCAGACACTTGTATCCAAAGTGATCTACAAATGAGGAACAACACAATATGCAGCGATAAATGCAAAGCAGTCTTATCCATGAATAAATGACTCTTGGGAGACTGAATTAATCTGACTGACAGTACTGCTAATCGCATTTGTCTGGTGCTTGCACGGTTTAAAAGAGAATGCACACTTTGACAGAAATGTGCAATATGGTCGACAGACATTATGTGCAGATGTGGCTAACATCTATATCTCGAGTTTTTACGTGTTGTATCGATACATCATATTGTTAGTCATTAGACTGATGCATCGTTCCACATGGATGTTTCGTTACACCCCTATTAACTGCATGCACGTTTGTTTGACAAGGAGTTGTGAAACGTGAGGAAAAGAGTTGTAATGGTTCTACAACAAAAGATTTCATGTCACAAAAAAGCCTTTTTGTAGCATGTAGTGAATGGAGGAAGAACTGCGTCATGTACCAATTCACACAAGATCAAAATCACAACTGAGGGTCTCATTAATCATCATTAAAGTGAATGGTGGAAAAGCCCCTAAACCACCCAGCAGAGACCGAGAGATAGAGAGAGACAGAACAGAAACAGAAACAGGGCTGAGAAAGAGAGCAGGATGTGGCAGCAGGATGAGGAGCGAGAGATAGGCAGCGGTGCAGCATCTCCATCTTTACCCAGCAGCAGGATCACTGGTGTCCCATCGGCTCTTTCGGCTTCCTCAATGAGCAGCAGTGAGCGCTGCGTAACAATAACAGTCCTAGGACAGGAAAGCCAGACTTCCTGTGCTCCCCCATTCAAACCAAATGAGGAAGTGCAGTGACGTCTCAGCAACTGCAAAAACAGCTACTATTTTACAGAACCGTTATCTGCTGACCAACCGCCTGTTAATAGTTCACCAAAAACTAGTGCTGCTAATCCAATTACTAATCCAGTGATTCTAAAACTATATATATATACATGAATAACATGACCAGTTTTGCTACAGTTTCAATATTGACAGTGAGGCTAGCCGTGATAAAAAATTGGCTATGGTTTGCGTCAATAATGAAAATCACAGCAAGCTCCAGGAAAAGAAGAGCGATGGCACCACCTGCTTGTGTTTTCACTGGACTGGGAGGTTTAACTTGACGTGCCGTATTAAAAATACAGCCAGCCGTGGTTTCAAAACAGAAGGTCAAGCAACTACATGCCTGAAGACAACCACCCCACACTCCAGTACTAGTTTGATTCACTGATCACAGCGGTATTTTCAGGAAACCTTTGCTGTGGGATTGTAAGCTTGCGTGTCTGTCACATCAAGCAATGCATCCATATATGTATTTAACAAATTAACCAAGACTCTGAATTGATTCAGTTCAGCTAATCGCACAGGATTCTGTGATTAAGCCACACTTATTGAAATTTTGTCTTAAATATAGACATTAAATAGCCAAATTAATGTAAAATTAACCAAGTATATTTAAAATAACCAAGGCCAGTATCACCAATACTTATACCTTTATTAAATAGATTTTTTCTAAGCAAAAAATTAGCAATTCTATCCATTAAAAATTAGAACTGAAAGCCATCATTAACAAGCCTAACTGCAAATTACCAGACTGTCATTTATTAACAACAATTACAGGACATGATGAGCTGTAACTTTTCATTTAAATAAATGTCATAAGCACATAATAATAATAACAATAAATACCTGCAAACATATGATATCACATTTCGTTTTGTCTTTACTTAGCACATATTGTTATCACATCTTAACATCACAGAAATTAACACCTTATTTTTCCCATCCCTAAAAATTACAGGTAAAATAAAACATTATAATACAATAGATTAATAATAAAATTAAAAAAGCCTGAAAATAGACATCCCTTGATTGCCGTTTTTGTTCTTTTTATAATAACATTATAATTTTTTACGATTACTTTAAGCTTTTTCTCCCCAATTCGCAAATGTTTATTTGAATATTTGATGCCGCTCTTAAATACCTGAAAAACATTTGTCTCCTTGTTCTGATGGGTTTATTTGTACTATTCTTTGCAATGCATTTCTTTGTTAATACTAATTTACTTTTAACTTGAACAGTTGCTTGGATAAAAATCTTCACATAATTGTTAAATATTTGGTTACATGCCATTTTTGTAATTCCATTTGTTAATATTTACATGAACGTTTAACATAAGGACGTGTGTTCATTAGCAGGTGGTAACAGCACTGGTATTTTCAATAGGAACTGGTCTTATTGTGCAAGAACATTGATAAATGTTTCATTATCAATCCACAGACGGTGTCAAGTTTTCTGGTGTAGACGAATTGTTTGCACTGACAAATACTCTCACTCTCACACTCAGTGCTCTGGACGAGAACAGCACGGTTTTAACGTGAATCAAGTGGCAACACTGTAAGCATGCAAGTAAACAACAGAACAGCTCACTCCCACACTAAGAGAAACCAGCTCTCACGAGCCTAAGCCAGCCACGATGAAACCGGAGAGCAGGAATTCACCATCTTTACTTTGAATGAGAAAGTCGGTGGTGGCCAACCCCTGCCTCTCAGATAACAGCTATCCCACAGTGCCATGGGGCAGGAACAAAGAGGCATTGTGGGCCACGCAGGTGGGATGTGGAAGAGCCAGCGGCTGGGAACCCTGCACGTAAGCCTAGACTGGGGGCCTGTAGCTGTGCACACCCTTTCTCACGGGCCGTCGCGCTCTCAGCGCTCGGGTTACTCTGAACACAATGAGCACATCTCTGCTGGAGGGGCCAAACACTCAGACGCTACAGAAAGACCCCAAACAAGCACTGAACTAACCAGCGCACGGGCACAGGTAACCAGCCACAAACTAACCTTTCCACCAAACAGACAAAGCAAAAATAACTGATAAACAAAGAGAGCAGGAGTGTTGTGAAGCGCTGAGAACTTTGCCCATCAACATAAAGCAAACCCTTCATTCAGATTCCAGCTCTGCACAGATTTTCACACTTTCAACATTATGAGGTGTATCTTGGGCTGCTTTCTTTGAACAGCATTCAATGGTCATTTCTCAGTATGCGTTCTTAAGTGATCTTGTGTCCATGGGTTCTTGTACCTCGTCATCACCAACTGTCGAAGTTCAAATCCAATACTCAAGAACGCAAGTACAGAGGACTTAGCTATACTGTTTATTTCACGATGTGCAAATACATCCGCGTAGCACAGTACTACTTAAAAGTTATAAACACCTGACCTAAGAGTGATAAAGAAACATGCACGAATGAGGAAATAAAGAGTGGAACGTGCTAGGTGTTAAATATTAAGTTATTAAATATTGAGTGAAGTGCAACATGCAGTGAAGAACTCAATGCGTGGACCGACACACACCTGAAGCGCGCAGAAAGAGTCTCTCTCAGACAGCATGCGATCGTGAATTCAGTTCTCTGAATCTTAGAACTGCTTCGAACGAATCGTTTGAGAATCATTGGAAAATGAGGTGATATTAAATGCATATTTTGAGAAAACAAAAACATTTTTTTTTTTACCTTGCATGCATGTAAACCTATTGTAGAAGACTCCAAAACAACATTAGGAAACTTAAAAATGGCATAATGGGGCACTTTAATTTGTATTTTTGTTCTATTGTGTTTGTAATTGTATTTTAATAACAAAAAAATAACATAAAAATACTTATATTGAGATAAATATAATTTTCGCCCACACCTAAGTGAGCCAATTATGGCTACACTACGAGATTCCCACTGCAAGCTTGCAAGTAACTGACTGCTTGTGATAGTATTGCATAATTTTAATACAGTGTTAAACGCGCAGTATTTTTATTGGCAGATTAAAAACGAATCTACTTATAATGTTCTTGGACGGGACGGACAGTTGATCAACAAGATCACAAAGCATCTCAATTGTCACAAAGATGCATTCTGCATCCTTCCAAATTCGTTCTTTCAAGGTAGC